ACTTCATTATATTCAGCTTGCAGATAGCCTTTAATAGCTTTTAGCCTTCCATCTGAGAACTGGTAAATTTTTTTGACCATAATGTAGCTTTTATTTATCCAAATGTTTATGAATAGATCCTTTTAGCATACTTTGATTAATTGACTCAAATCACTTGAATTTGTGTTTCTAAATGATGGCTAAAAGTTTCTTTGAAGGCTGTACAGTTAATATATACACTCCTTAATCACATAATTTTTATATATATATTTTCAATTAGTAGTAAATTGTTGTCAAAATGCACTTGTAGATTTTGAAAGCATTTTTTTTTTTTTAGGAGGGGGAGTGAGGTGGAGGAGGGGCAGTGGGAGAGGGAGAGAGAGAATCTTAAGCAGGCTGCAGGCCCAGCATGGGGTCTGACACAGGGCTTGATCTTACAACCCTGAGATCATGACTTGAGCCAAAATCAGGAGTTGGATGCTTAACCGACTGAGCCACCCAGGCGCCCCTTAAAAGCATTTTAAAGCCAAAATGTTTGATTTATAGATTTTATATTTAAAATATTATGCATACTATTTACATTACCATGTTTACATTAACTCTTAATACATAGGATATAGAGTCATTTTAACCATAAGTAATAGAAGCAGTAAAACCATCCAGATTTATGATAATTTTATAAACACTAAAGCCCATTTTTTCCAATTGCCGAGTTGAAGAAATCATTACTCTCAACTGTGAATGAGCTTAGGTATATTTATTTTTCCACCAAACTCAAGATACTCCTTGTAAAAATATGCTTACCAATTCTAACCTAGTTATTATTCCAGGTATTCTTGCCTTTCTATATCTGTGTCTCTGTCTTCAGCCTTAGGTGAGCTTCTTAGCCTTATATGATAGAAGAGTGGAACTGCTTTAGTTCTGCTTATCTCTCTTGTCTTCTTGCTAATGCACCTGTAGACCTAGACTTCAGTGCAGTTCTTTTTCTTCTAAAACATGCTCCTTTCTCTTTTTCTATCTCTGATTATTTATTGAGGTGGAAAATAGGGGCTAAAGGAATGTGATGGGAAATTTCACTCTTTTTGTTTGAATCACAAATTTGACTCAGCAGTGAGTCAGGCAGTGAGTTTAGTTAGTCCTAGGGAGTCCTGGAGAATAAGCCACAGTCTCTGCTTAGGGGGACAGTCACAGATATTCCCTTCTATCATGTGGGATGCTGGAAACAGAGCATTGTGAAACTGAATGGAACAGTCTACAGGGAAAGACGTCCCAGAAAAGATGACATTAGGATAGTCTGGAAAGACAGATGGATATTTGTGAGTGAGAAAAGGAGAAAGTATGTTCTAGTTCTCATGAACATTATATACAAGAACAGAGGATATGAAGGTCTGAGGTTCTTAGGGGAATTGCCCGTAGTCCACATGACTAAAATGTAGGCACTGAAAAGTGAAGGGGAAGTTCATTTTTCATGTCATTGTTAAGAATCTTACATGCTGTACTAATTTGGGGCTTTATCTTTGGTTTATTGGGGGAGCCACCAAAGGTTTTAAAGCAGTGGATTAATATGAATTTATTTCTGCTTTAATTACAAGCTGCAAACTCAGATGTCTGTAGGCACCAGGCAGGTAACTTACACAAAGCTGCTAGATGTGTGATAGCAGGAAATGGTCAGGCCCACAGGACTGATCAGGCCTTGCCTGAAGCCTTTCACATATAAGCTAGAGGAAAAACTGTGTTTGCCGAATCAAGCAGAATATTGAGACCCCTGCTCAGAGCTGTCCCTGAGAGCTTTTTGGAGGATGTTGTACAATGCTTGGTATACAGTAGGCTGATGGTGTTTGTCAAATAAATGGATGATGGATTGAAGGGTGGGTGTGGGTGTTGTGTGCAGAGATTCACTGGGAGACCATTAAGATAATTCAAGCAAAAAGTGGTAATGCTTGAGTTAGGACACATAATTGAAAAAAGAGAAGCATAGGTGGATATGAGAAATACTGAAATGGTAGAATTGTTGGGATTCACTTCCCAGTTCACACATGAAGAGAGGAAAGAATTAAAGATGACCTAGAGATTTCTAGCTTAGATTAAATGGGTGGTGATGACCTGAATCAAAAGAGAGATGGGGCACCTGGGTGGCTCAGTCGTTTAGCGTCTGCCTTCGGCTCAAGTCATGATCCCAGAGTCCTGGGATCGAGCCCCGCATGGGGCTCTCTGCTCAGTGGAAAGCCTGCTTCTCCCTCTCCCACTTCCCCTGCTTGTGTTCCCTCTCTCACTGTGTCTCTCTCTGTCAAATAAATAAATAAAGTCTTAAAAAAAAAAAAAAAGAGAGAGAACGTGGGAGAAAGGACAACTGTAGGAGAAGTAGTATTGGGGGAAAGGGGGTGGAGCTGAGGAACTTTTTAATTCTAAGTGCCAAGGTACTTATCATGACTATCATTTTTGGTGTATTATTTGGGGGTCTTTAAGTCTCATTTTCATTCATTCATTCATTCATTCATTCATTGTTCTTGAACAGAAATTGTCCCAGAACCCTTTTTTTCTTTTTCTTTTTTTTTTTTTAGGAAAATCTCAGTCCTGCCTACACATATTCCCTTAACCTATGTCTGTGGCTGTGGCTATTTTTCTAGGCATAAATCCTGATTAGAGATCTTAATTTTTCTGATATCAACCCTATATTGTTGGTTGTCAAAGTACCTAGTTTTGCTCAGTCTCAGTTTTTACTAGAATAATCTCCAGTTCTCAACTTTAATCAAAAGTGTGCTTATGATAAGTAGTATTTGTAGCAAATTGTCTAATTCCTCCATATATTTGGACATTTATCCCTGAGACCATCAAAAAATGGGTACTTGTATTATTGGTTTTACTTTTCTGATACATTGCTTTATATCTACGTATCTGTATATGTATCTACATATGTCTCATCACTCTGGTGTTATTTCCTCAGCTTTCATTAAAAGGTTCTGTAAGAAGCAAATGCAACGAATCCATAAATCCATTATTATATATTATATAAGGCTATTGTCAAGGGTGTTGTGCCTTAGGAGATAAAAGGTGATTGTTCCCTTTTTCAGGACTCTGGTAAAATTTTCTCCCAGAACTTAAATGCCAACAAAAGTGATTTTTGTTTCTTTGGTTTTTTGTTTTGTTTTTCCCTTGAGTGCTGGTAATTTTTTGATATTATGGACACTAAATTGTGTACTTGGACCCTCCCTATTTGTTTTGGCTGCTAGGACCTTGAGAGTCAAGTTCATAAACAGATAACAGTTGTAAAACAATACCTTGTACAATTATACTTTTCATTTGTTCTATTTTATTTTAGTTTGCCTTAATTTTTTTTGTTAAAATATTTTCTCTATGATTGTATTTATTTTGTTAGATATCACAGATCCTTTTTAATAAGGAAATACTATAATTCAAATAATATCAGTTCTGGTTTTTAATTTTTTTTCACTGACCTAGGGAAAATTAAAGGGAACAAAATCAGATTCAACTACATATCCAAAGTGTATAACTAAATAAATTTTTATAAAGTGAACATAGTTGTGTAATTACATCCCAGAAATGCAAATAGAACATTTCTATTACCCCAGAAGCGTCCTTCATACCCAGTCCCAGTCATTTTTCTCCCAAGGTAACCTAACCACTGTTCTAACTTCTGTCACTACGGTTTGTTTTGCCTGGTTTGAACTTTATATAAATGTATCATGTAGTAACTTCTATATAGTGGACTTTGTCAATTTGTTTTTGAGATTCAGGTGACACATTTTCATTGCTATAGTATTTCATCATATAAATATATTATACTTTATCCATTTAATTATTCATAGACAATTGTGTTGCTTTAAGTTTTGCCCATTACAAATAATGCTGCAAAGGTTGTGTATGCATTTCTGTAAGATATGTATCTAGGACTCCTGGAATATTGAGTGAATGTATGTTGAATTTCAGTAGATCTTACAGTTTTTCAAAGAGGTTTTATCAATTTCCCCTTCCTCCAACATTGAATTCAGTGTTCCATTTGTTCTGCATCCTTGCCAACATTTGTTGATGTCATTTTTTTTAATTTTTAAAAAATATTTTTAGCTATTCTGGTTGTTTGTTATGTTGTCTTATTGTAGGTTCAGTTTGCTTTTCCTGAATGCCTACTTGGAGTGCCTGTTGTATGTTAATTGGACAATCAGATATCTCCTTTGTCAAGTATCTGTTCAAGCCTTTTGCCCTTTATTTTTATTCTTGTTTGTTTGATCAATTTATGAATTCTTCTGTTTGTACCACACTATCTTATTGCTGTGACTTTAACCTTTACCTATTTTAGTATATGTCCTCCAACATTGTTCTTCAAGATATTCCTCCCTATTCTTAATCATTTGAGTTTCCACATAAATTTAGAAGCAGCTTGGCATTTTCCATACACAAAGAAAGAAAAACCTGCTGGAGTTTTAATTAAAATTTTAGTTATTCTAGAAGATCATTTTGGTGAGAACTGGTATCTTAATGATATTGAAGGCTTTAGTTTGTTTCCATAGTATATATCTTCATGTATTTCAGTATTCTTTATTTTAGCTCAGTTTTGTATTGCCTATTTTTTATTAGATTTATTCCTAGGTATTTGGTTTTTTGAAATGGTATTTTAAAATTTTTTATTGTCTAGTTCTTTGTTTCTAGTATATAGAAATTGATTTTACTTTGGAAATTCTACCTTTTATCTGTATTATACTTTTTAATCTTTAAAACTTGCTATCAATTTTGATTTCTTGAATTCTTAGTTTTTATCTATCTATTCTTTAGGAGTTTCTACCTATACAATTCTGTTGCTGTCAGTTATGACTCTTTTATTCTTTCTAATTCTTTTCCTTTTATTTTTCTTGCTTTATTGCCCTGTCTGTAGAATCAACATATCTTACTGCTCATACTATTTATCTGTGAATTTATGAATTATTTATTCAGCTAGTGTATATTTTTTGAGCACTTAGTTTGTCTCTGTTAAAGATAGTCACATCTAACTCTGTTTTATTTGATAGTGAATTGAATTCAAAGCTTCAAGATACTTTAGAACAAATTGAGGTAAGAAGGATTACATCATAAGTGCTTTTCTCTTTTCAGAGGCTTTGGATAGTACATATATGCATCTTATGTTATGATTTCTGTGTTATTACCAGTGTTCTAGATCACAACACTTTATTGTTTTTTTTTTAATTTGGGATATCTGTGCATGGTTGAGTTAATGCTAATCTACTTGTAAACTCAATAATACTATTGGAGTTGGGGGCGCGTGGGTGGCTCTGGTGGTTAAGCGACTGTCTTCAGCTCAGGTCATGATCCTGGAGTCCCGGGATCGAGTCCCACATCGGGCTCCCTGCTCGGCGGGGGGTCTGCTTCTCCTTCTGACCCTCTTCCCTCTCGTGCTCTCTGTCTCTCATTCTCTCTCTCTCAAATAAATAAATAAAATCTTTAAAAAAAAAAAATACTATTGGAGTTGTGGGATCTGAAAATGGTATTTTGTATCTGAAAACACCCTATCCAGAAAGATCCCAAAACTGTTAATCATAGATTTGTTTTCATGTAAATTATAGCCAAAATATTTATCATGTATTAATTATTTTTTGATTATTAACTTTTTTAGTTCAGTGAGTTAATTTATATAAGAATAATTATTGGCTGATGAACCCTCCTAAATTCCTAAACCTTCTACTATTCATACAGTTCATCAAAATATAGAAATGGAAAGGAAAAGATATGTCATTATGAGCATGAAGTCTTACTTTTCCTCCTACATTTATTCAGAGTTCATCTCTTTACTTGGCAATCTTTGCAAAGCAGGGTATTCATTTTAATAAATAAGAATTATTTGTTATTTTCTGGTATTTTATTTTATCATTTTTCTGATGAGAGTACTTGTAAAAACTGAGGCTGGACTTTCAAACAACCTTTTGTGAAAGTATGTTTTCATCATAAATGCAGTTATTTACTAGTTGTAAGAATGGCAGTTTATTTGATAAACATAAAGATAATGCTTTGAAAATCCCTTAAATAATCATTTGAATATTGAGGACTTTCTTTTGAAAGCTCAGTATTTCTTCACTCTGAGTATACAATATTATTCTGTACTTATGTAGAGAATCATTATTTTGAAATGAAATCATTGAAATAGAAATCCTTAAACAGTTGATGCATTTAGATATAAAAGTATGTATCTTGGGTATGTGCTTTTAAGGTCAATGTAGTTTTGTTGAGAATTACTTTTCAGTGATTATAGAAGGACTGTTATTATTTTTTAATAGTCCTATAAATTCAGTTCATATAATTGTAAGTTTTAGCAGATGTATGAGGAAACATAAAGTAAAAATAAAAAGTAAAATACTTCTAGTAACTATTACGCTTATTTTGTGTCTCTTGAAACACTAGGCATGGGTCTTTAGATTCCTCATTTATTAATGACATCTTAGTAAACTTGATTATAGTTGGTATATAGTTGGTAATACATGAGAATTACAATCTATTTATATTTTTATTTAAATTTGTTTTTGACTGTTAAATCTAATGTGATAGTAAATATCTTTAGATTATTAATTAAAAAATGAAAAATTAGTCTTAACACTTTCCTCTCATTACCTTGGAAACAATTCCTTAACTGCCTCTTGCCTTTTGTTTTAATTCCATAGGAACAGTTGGATGTAGCTCTTTCTAAAATTTGCAAGAATTTTGACATAAACCATTATACCAAGGTTCAGCAGGCTTATCGACTTCTTGGAAAAACACAGGTTAGTTTTGAACGAATGTTTGCTTTTTTCTTAATCAGGAATCTGTTGATCTTTATGAATGCTCAAGTCTGAATATTACTAATGTAGTGTCCTTAAAAAGTTTCATTTAACGAAGTACATTTTTATGCCATATTAACATAGTTTCAGTGTATGGAGTATGATTAAAACATGACAGAAGTTTGTTTTGTGCTATGAAGTGTTTATCAGGTTTAATATTTTCACAATTTTATATAGTTTTTTTTTTTTTGAAGTGTTATTATAAGATAATTTAGTTGGAGGGGATGTGTAGTCTTTTACCTCAGCTCTTTGTCCTGAATAAGAACTTCTTAATTTGGAGCTTCATGGTTCTGAGATGGACCAGCATGTTTCCCTCAAAGTGGTATGTAAACTTTTGTGTAGTGTATATGTTTATCTGTAAAACAGCACCATTTCATTTATCATATTTTTCAAGGGATTCTCTTACTCTCCGAATGACTTCACTACTCCCACGGTGCATGGTTTTACATTCTCTTACTGCCCAAGGGCTTCCTTGAAAAATTTGCAACAAGGGTCATTGAAAGTTAATTGTACCTTCTGCTTGTACAGGATTATACACTTATTTATAAAACAGCTAAACGTGATAGATACAAATATTTTCTTCCCTTAAATGGTCTCCTGTCCATCTCTTAGGAGATCTAAGAATTTACCAAACCATTGAAACTGTTTGCATTTTAAGTCTGAATAAAGAAATTTGGTTTTTTACTTAATTATTTTGCACATCTTAAGCTACTGAGGAGAAATTACAAGAAGATAGACACTTGGTAATTTGGGACCTGTTTAAAGACCTTTGAAAATATGATTATAACTTCTAACTACCCTCATCAGACTAATTCTTTTACTCATTAAATATTTAGTAGCCCTTATTGTGTGCATTGCTCCAGGCACCTCAATATGGGCCCTCATCTATCTTATCTTCTAGTAACGGAAGCAAACATTAAAGAAATAAATGGGCAGGGTGTTGGTTTGTAACAAGTGCTATAAAGAAATATATATCAGGATAAGTGGATAGAGTCATGGAAGGCACTGATTTATACAGGATAGTCAGGAAACGGTTCTCTGAGAAGGTAACCATTGAGAAGCATCCTGAACAATGTAAGGGAATGACGCAGAGGAGATCCAAAGGTGTGATTTTACATGACATGTCTAAAAAAGAGCAGTATGGATAACAAATACAGGCAGGATGGATAAATACAAAGCAACAGAGCAGGGTTCATGATTCAGATTTATTTTTAGGGATAGGATGTTGTGGTTATTTGAAGGGTTCTTTGCAAATAATCAGTACAATTAAAATTTTATAAACAATAGTGATCTTTGTGCTGTATCTATAATTGGTAAAGATTTTTTCCTATGTTTTTCAAGTCCATTGAAATTTATTTATTTTAATAACATGAAATTATGTTGTATGTTTTTTTTCTTTCCACAGACAGCAATGGATCAACTTCACATGCACTTCACTCAAGCCATTCATAATACAGTGTTTCAAGTTGTTCTTGGTTATGTGGAACTATGTTCAGGAAACACAGATACAAAATTCCAAAAGCTGCAATATAAGGATCTCTGTACAGTATGTAGTGACTTTGTTCTGTTCATATTGCCTCTCTTTTAGTTTTTGAATTCATATTCCGTTTTTCTTAGCACCTATTATTTGAAGATGCTACTGAAATAAAAAGAAATATGTTTGCCGAAAGCTTTTTTTTTCTCCCATATTGTTCTTTTTCTCATAATGGAAGATTGAGTCACACAAATGGTAAAAGTTGATGAGATGGTATAGATTGATGGAGTGCATTTGCTTCTAAATGGACTCTTTACTCTGTCATAGCTTCTCTTACCCTTTTCTCTCAGGCTCTTAATTCTCTTCTGTGATTGCATCTAAGATACTTCTAAGCAATCATCTTAGCTGGTTTCCTGTATACCCTTTCCATCAGTCTTTCCGTGTGTATGAATGCTGTTTCTGTCAGTATCTGTAACCAATTTCTTTTCATTCTTAAAGAAACAGAGGTCTATAGGTAATATAACCACAGGTGAGAAGTGAACTGAGTTGGGCTCTGTTTTAGAATTGGTCCTGTTGATGGATTGATGTAGGGTGTGAGGAAAAGAGAATGATGAACAACTGGGAGAACAGTGAGTGGTGTCATATGTGTTTACAAGGAAGACTGATTTGTAGTGGGGAGTCATGAATTCTGTTTGATAACTATTAACATTCAAGGGGACTTGTTGAGGAGGCAGTTGGATAAAAACTTACGGAGATGAGAGCTGAAGTGATAGAGTCGTCAGAATCTAATTGTACTTAAAGCCATGATACTTGATAGGAAGATGGGGGAAAGGAGTGTAGATAAAGGAGCCATGGGACCCTTGGGCCTTGTGACATTCAGGGATTAGGTAAGGAGGAGAGACCAGGAAGAAGGGTCAGAGAGAGAGCAGCTTGCTAGGTGGGGGAAAAGCTAGGAGATGGTGGAACAGTCTACAGAAGGAAGTATTTCAAGGAGAATTGACCGTAAACCTATGTCAGATGCTTCTGAGAGTCTGCATAAGGTGATATTACAGAATTGACCCTTGATTTGACAATGTGGAGGTTATTGTTGACCTTGGTCTCTTTAATTCTAGTTCAAGAATGTTCTGTGTCTCTCACTGGAGACATTCTTGAATTATTTGTAACATCAACTTAGAAAATAACAGTTCTAGGAAGTAGATATCTATTCTCTACTGTAATTATGTCCAGGGATTAGTATAAAATTAAGCGAATCTTAATTCTTTAGTGAGTTTGTCAAAAGTGCAGGTTATATGTTCATTGGGATCTGAAGAAATCTTCTTACTTGAGCTACAATAAATATTCCAGGAGGATGTGATTATATATGATAGATGAAGGATTGAGTTAATAATGACAGTGGATGGTTGTTAATATAGCTTAAAAATGTCTTTAAAATCATTTTATAAATCATGAGGACTCTTTCACAAATTTAATGATTATTAACTTAAAGTGTGATATAGTTGCATAATTTCATTTTTGAATATCCAGTTTTAAGTACAGCCATCATTTGTTAAAGTTCAATGATTTTGAAATGTGTTGTTCTTATTCATATATTTTCTTAGTTTGATAGTATATATTTTTAAATTAAATATACAAGAAATCAATTTCATTTTTTGATTCTATTATTGTTGCTATCATGAAGAGATGATTTAAATGGTAAAGCAGTTTATTACAAGTTGGTGATTTCTCTGTTACAGCAGAAAATAACTTATAATAATTAAAACAAACATTTTAAACAAATTAGGCTTTTGTCCTTCAGCCTTCTTTACTTTGGTTAAATCTGGTGTGTGTTTGTGTATGTGCATAGTATACTTTTACCATTAAATTTTTATATGTTTTTAAGTCAAAGACATATTTGTGCTCCTGCTTCTTGAGAAAGTCCTCTGTACATTTATGTAATACAAAGCTGAAAGTTGTATTTATAAATGTTTATGAACAAAAATTTATGCTTAAAGTGTTTACCATAGGTTGTTGGGTTTTGTTTTTTTTTTTGGAATTTCTTTCACTGTTTTTTTTTTAAAGCTGACTTTTGAAGGAGCTGTGTGTATATTTAAATTATCAGATAACAAAGGGCTTATCTTTCTTGATTTTATTTTGAGTTAATGCTTGTTAAAATGACTCCAAGAAACATCTGGTAATTCTTTATAAAATTATCTATCTATGTGTGGTAGTAGTGAGGTATATATAATTAAATTAAGGAAACAAGTGATTTATTGGTCTACTAGAGCTTAGAGATAGAAACCGCCCCCTCCACCCAGAACAGCCAGCACATAGGTTATTATTCATCCAATGCAGTTGTACACTTCTGGTTTATATTCAAGCTGTGCTAAGACATTCATTGAAAGAGTTTTGAAGTGATGAGAATAGTAGCAAATGTTGATGATGGCTTCATGAAGGAATTTCTTTTGAGGAAAGGATTTAACAGAATTAGGTATGGTGGGCTCTTTATGTTGAGAGAACAGACTTAGGGGAGCTGAATAATGAGGTGAAGAATGTGATGCATTTTAAGGTGGCCCATTTTTTTTGGCACAATTCTCAATAAGAAATTAAAGAAGTTCCAGAAATTACCCCAGGCCTCTAGAAGTATTTAAGTCAGTGCTGCCACAGGCAGACAGGGATGTGGATATCTCTTTGAAACCTAACTAAGTTTTAATTTGTTTTATAATATTTGAATTCTAGTTGACATGTTTAAGCCAGGGAAGATTAGGAAGAAATTATTTCTCATCAGATTTGTTTATTTGTTAGTTAGTTTGATGAAAAGATGTGACCTTTTAGTAACTGAGTTCTATAAATGAAGATGATTAGCTCAGGAGAGGAAAAATGGAAGCAGCCCTTAGAAATTTAATAAATAAACTGATGAAAGGAGATTTAAATATGTTTTCCTGGTGAGAACACATATAAAGGATCTGGAATGGCACAGCTCAGGCAAGGGAGATGATTTGTGAAGGAGCCTTGTATTAGAATGTAAGGTTCTTGATTTTTTTCAATATGTAGCAATTGGGAATCATTTAGCTCTGATTAAAAGTCACTGAGAATACTTATTGAGGATGTGCTAATGGGAGAGTGTATGTGGCAATGGAATGTCAGGTAAGAAAGAAGCAACAGAGCCCTCGGGAAATGCATATAAGATGTTGACTGGTAGATTTTAGAAATGAGAAGAAAGAGTTCAGGCATTTGGGCAGTTGGTTTTCTCTGTATAATAGCAGTATTTTGAAGGAAGCCCTTAATCATAGAGTTTAAATATAACATTAAAAAATGAAATACATGAAATAGTATACTCATCAGAGTTGAGAGAGGGGTGGAGTTCCTGTAAATGGGAACAATTGTGTTTCCTTTAAAAGGAAAGAGATTGGAAATGAAGAGATCTAATCATCTGCTTGCCCTTGTTCGTAGTATTATTTTAAACCACTCATATCCATCTATTACTAAATGGGCTAGAATGAAATTGAACTTAAGTTTTTTGATATCCCTTTACAAAGAAATCTGGGATAAAATTTGCATTCTCTTTCTATTTACTCTGGTAAACTGAGAACTTCAGAGTTCTTAAGGCCAGCAGCATCCTATCCTGTTATGACATTTCTGTGATTTGTGTCCTGTCAACCATTGCTGAGTTTAAAAGCTTAGTTGGCTTTGAGCTTTTTGAAATTATTTTGTAATTGAATGTACTTACTTTTCTTTCTTTACTAAACAATGTTTTCTGAATGATTTCATTAGAAGCACAATTTTTCTTCTTACAGTTTATCTTTCAGTGTGGTTTTCCTGTTTTTCTTGAATGTATTGGCGAACAGTTGTTAGATCAGTAATTTAGGCTCCTTTAAAAATGTGTACATTATTTTGAAGCTCAAATAAATGACTGATATTTAGCAAAAATTTCAAAATGAATTAAACCTCATTCATTTCCGGAAAGGGCCAATGAAAGGGGCTTAGTGGTCATTTTATTTACTTAAAAAAATTAAGCCTTGTTTGTGATTGCATTTACGTTGATGTACCCCTACATGTTGATACCAGTCTGTGGAGAAATTTATAGACACCAAGTGGATGTTATTTATTTAGTGACCTTGTAGAGAAACTTTTTGTAGGCTATTTGAAAGTTAAAAAAAAAATTTTTTTACAACCTTCTTTGGCAGGCTGTTGGATTTCCCTGGGAAGCTTATATTAAGATGTTAATTAGGATGTTATTGATTAATTTTATGATAATAGAGCTGGCTAACGCTGGCTGAAATTTTCCCAACCATTTTTCAGTTTTTCATTTCCAAATGAGCTTAATGAGTTTTGAGTTCTGTTTTTGAAATGAACTTGATAATGTAGTAATAACTTTGGTGAAAAATGGAGTTTTTTAAGAAAAAACTTTGAAATCATTTCAGTATATGTTTTCCCAGAGTCTGACACATTGGAGGTGCTTAGTAAATGTTTCTTGAGTAAATTCAATTGCCCTCCTTGTCTCTAATTGGTACGATGTTGACACAGTCCAAATTTAAGTTAAGTATGAGGGAAAGAAAACCAACATTGTGCATCTTTTGTGTGCCATGGACTTCTTTTTTAAAGATTTTATTTATTTATTTGAGAGAGAGAGTGAGTGGGGGGGGGTGGCAGAGGGGAGAGAATCTCAAGCAGACTCCGTGCTGACCACGGAGCCTAACTTGGGGCTTGATCTCATGACCTATAGATCATGCCCTGAGCTGAAATAAAGAGTCAGATGCTCAACTGACTGAGCCATCCAGGTGCCCCTGTGCCATGTACTTTTACAGATGCTTTATGTGCATACATCGTAGAAAGACAAAGGGACTGCTGGTCTAACATTCCATTCTTCTAAGCTTTATAAAATTTTTCTTGTAAGTACTCTCTCTTGATACTGAATTCAGTGTCAGTTTTTTTGAGGGTTAGTAAATATCTTTAGTAAGATCTCTGTTGAAGGTATAGTTTATTTTGATGTTCATATAGAAACCTAAAGACAAATTCCTCTTTTTAGTCAAAAACATGTTTCTATTCCCAAATTCTCAGGGCATTTTCTGTTATGAAGAATATATTGTCTCTCA